CCGCTTTGTGAAACAGTTTGAACTATGTTTAGATCAAAAAGCTAAAAAGAAGTACCGCGTCATCTAGCAATTCCATAAAACATTATCCAAAATAACTAAAAGCAGGGGCTCACACGGATACTTGTACACCAATGGTCACTGTGGCATTATTCACAATAGCCAAGAGGGGGAAACATCCAAGTTTCATCAACAGATGAATGGGAATATGCACACAAGGGAGTATTATCCAGTCATAAAAGGCATGAAATCCTGACATATGCTACAACATGAATGAATCTTGAAAATTCAAGTGAAATGAGCCAGGCACAAGAGGATTCCAATTATATGAGGTTCCTACAATAGGCAAATTATTAGAGACAGAAAGTAGAATAGAGACTACCAGGGACTGGAGGGAAGGGGAGTGAACAGTTATTGTTAATGGAGACAGTTTCAGGGAGGGATGGATGACAAAGCTCTGGAAATAAATAGTGGTGAGGGTCACACAACACTACCTGTACTTAATGTCACTGGATTATACACTTAAAAATGGTTACGATGTCACTTCTGTTCTATGTATATTTTACCACTATAAAAACAGGAAAAGCTTCCTAACTGGTCTCGGTGTTTCTACCGTCCCCGACCCCAGCCGCTTTGATCTATTCTCAAGATAAGAACCAGTGCTTCCTGCTAAAACCATAGGTCATATACAACTATTTGCATTTATCAAAGCTCATAAGAATTTTACAATTAGAAAAAGATGAATTTTACTGTTTGTAAATTATGCTTCAATATTAAAACACTGCTCAAGTTGTCATCCTTGCGGGCCATGCTAATCTTCTCTGTATCCTTCCAACTTTAGTATATGTGCTGTCAAACCTCAGAGGCAAGGCAGGGGAGGGAGTGGGGAGCGATCAACCAATGAACTCATATGTGTATATGCATAACTCATAGACAAAGACAATAGAGTGATGAAGGCCTGGGGTGGAGGGGTGGAGAGGGGAGAGTCAATGGAAGAAAAAAGGGGACATATGTAATACTCTCAACAATAGAGATTAAAAAAACAACTGCTAAAGTTAAAAAAAATAAACCAAAAAAGAAATCATATCACTCACTGCTCAAAAAACTTCCAATGTCAACCAGGTCCTGACCCAGCTTGCTAGCTGAACCAGGTCGTGAGCCCCACCACGCGCCTACCCTGCCCCTGCCCCTCCCCCTCCCCCCATCTCTAGGGCTCCTTTCTCCCTCCAGCCACCAGTGCCACCTGGCTCTTCCCTGAGCTGGCCAGACACACTCCCACCACAGGCCCATGCCGGAGCTGTTTCCGTAGGATATCCACGAAATCTGCTCTCTGGCCTTTTGATCTTCATCCAAATGTCAAGTGTCAAAAGCCACCGGAAGGCAAGACATTACAGAAGACAAAAAAATCCAGCTTGAGGTGAAAGAAACTCGGTCTGGTATGTCTGAGACATTGTAGCCAGTAACTGGGGGGAGAAACACCCGCCTGCCTTGACCACACTGTTTAAAACTGCAACCCAGCCCAGCCAACAGCCCTAACCCCCTTTCTACTGCTATTTTGTCCAGCAGACCGGCCACCATCTGAAACACTACGTACTAGTTTATTTCACATCTCAGTCTTTCTGTGACTAGGGTAGGGTGGGTTTTGGCGGTCTGTTCAGTTAGCTGCTTTATCCCCAGCACTTAGAACAGCGTGCGGCATACAGAACACACTCATTTTTTGTTGGGAGTAAAAAATGAGCACATGAACAACAAAATTCCTGAAAGGAATGATGTGTCTGGTGTGTGTTAGTAAAAACAAACAAACCAGCCAAACCTCCCACCTCATCCAGCCCCCCTTTCTTCCTTCCCCACTTCCTGCCAGGCCTCTGGCCACAAGGGGCCTTCTTCCAACTTCACTTCCAACTTCACTCCCAGCACTGTCCTTGCCCAGATCTGCCGTCACACATTCCAACCTCGGCTCAGCACTCTTCTCTGCAGTCATCGCCTGCAAACTGCTGGCCACTGTTTAACTTCCAGCTAAAACAGCATTTCCCCACCAGCCTCGTCAGCCCCGACTCCACCAGCCCGCGCACGCCGTGCTTTCTCAGCAGCTGGTCCCTCTCCTGAGCTCACTACACTGCAGCTAATAACGCTGTGCAACTGGTGTGTAGCGGCTGTCTCCTTGCTAACCTAAGTGCCACGAAAGCAGGGGTTGGTGTGACCCACTGCTGTGCCCTTCACACCCAGGGCAGCATTGTAGTTGCCCCAGACTCTGCTAAACCTGGGTTTGCTCCAGGTAAACCCTCTCCCTTAACACAGGGCGGTTAGTTAATGAATATAAGTGGATGAAGCTGATGAACGTAAGATGCCAAGGGCAGAAATAGATAAGCTCATCTTACGGTTAATCTTCTATAAGATACTACTCTAAAAAAGTTAAATGCAAAATTAAATATTTAAAATACATCTAAGAACCACTGCTTCACAGAATCTGATAATGAATGCATTTCCCTCTGAAGCTTTTTTATTGGGGGAGGCAGTAAATACCAATCTCCACTTATTGATTATGCTCGGAGTTTGTTACCTGATAAGTGGTTATTAAAAAGGAACTACACTCCAGGCACCATGCTGGGCAGACAAGTTAAATCACTGTACCAGAGTCCAACTCTGTGGGGAAAGGAAGGAAAAGTTTCTTCAAGATTCCTTTTGAACTTTTGTGCCTATATTTCTTAAATCAGAAAAAGGCAAACTCAGAACTGCTCTTCTAACAAAGCCCTTCTCTCAGCTCAGCTCAGCTGACCCATTCGAGGGAAACAAAGCCCGAGAAAAGGCAAATGAAATCGCCAAGAGCGAGTTCTCATCCCTGGTTAGCGGCTGCGATGTCTCAGATATCCCCCACCTCATTTCTTTCCCCATTAAGCCACTTAGCCATTCAGTGGCTTTTCTTTGCCTTCCTTATATGAGGAATCTGGCGACAATTCCCAGACTCAATGCACATTTTTTCCCTTGAGAAGTTCACAACAACCACAAATGCCAGCTTGGTCTAACCAGCATACCAAAGCGTCAAGGTCACTACAAGATCCAATGTGGGTAGGCTTGTTTTTGGCGTTAGTACAGCCCGAGATAATGAAGAAATGCCCGGGACAGACTGTGTTGATAAATGGACCCATTGGAAAAGAGAAGGCCAGTGGACTAGGGAGGCAGGGCCACTTGGTAAAACCAAAACTGCCCGGGGAGCAGACCCGGTGGGGGAGAGAGCGGGCACCATGCGGGAGAAACACAGGGTCTGTGCTGCTCTTCCCGCCGCTGGACTAACCATGACACCAGACACTAATTCCCTGAATGACACTGGTCATCACGATCCCGACATCCAACCCGAGGAAAGTCCTTCGACTCTTTCCTATGCCACCGGGGAGGCTGGGCTGGACCACGGAGTTCACAGCTACAACACACGCAACGGCAGAAGGCAGACTCTGAACTGTGCTGCCGGAGCTGCGCGCAGGAGCCAGGCCGTGAATTCTAAACAGATCCAGACGAAAGAGAAGCAAGCTCCAGCAGCAGCGATGACCCAGCCCTCAAATACAGCAGAGAAGAGAAGCTGCGAGTCTCCAAGCAGAGCTGCTGCCTTTTAAGACTGTTTCGTTTTTGTTCTTTTCATACAAAAGGCAGAAGAAACTTGAAAGAACAGCAATGCCTGAGAGAGGAGACGAGGGAGGAGACTGTCAATCTCAAGATCACCACTGAGTTTGCAGAATCAAGTCTCCATGAGAACTGAAGCATCAACTCTGGAACCCCGAGACTATAAAAAATACCTATGTAAAAAACCAAGTCCCACCCCCGACTCCATAGCCCTCCTGTGCACACACGCAGACGCACACATGGCACAGGCTTAGAGGCTCATGAGGGACCGGTCACTGGCAAGTTGAAGAGGACAATCTCCTGAAAACCCAGTCATGTATCCAAGATTAGCTGTCCACCCCTTAGACCCTGAGGCTCTAGGAAAGCAGTCACCCAGTGCGGGCAGCAATGCTGCTCCCTGCAGGCAGTCCCCAATATTACAAGTAATTCACTGGCTGATGTATACACACTACAAAGGCGTAACATACCCCATCGCTGTAGATGAAGGGTTATTCTTCAATTCCTGCACATTTACCACTTGAGGGACAGTCTTCAAAGTTGATTCGGTCAAAGTACTCACAGCTATTGAAACAGAGAACAGAGAGGCATATTAATTGCAATGAGGGATCAAAAAAGTCTAGCCCTACATAAACCACCAGGACAGAAACCCAAGCAGCTTGCAATCCTATTAGACAGAGAAAGGACAGCTACTCTAGGCAGCTCTGCAGCGCTGTGTTCAGTGAACACCTGGCCTCCATTCATAAAGATTATGAGATGAAGATGCATGCAATTTAGTCAAATGCCCTAGTTCAGGGAAAAAGAATTCCCTGGGCAGATTTTAGACAGCAGAGCTGAGATTGCCTGCCACGCTGTTTGCTCACCTTGGAAAAGGGCAGAAAGAGCTGGAGCATTAGCGTGATTCAGACTAAGGATTTTTCCACCCCCCACTCTTTCATTCAACCATCCTTTCACATGGGCTTTTTATTGCCAGACTGTTAGGTGCTGGGAATACCAAAAATGTCTGACATAGAGTTTCTTCTCTAAAGGAGCCACGGCTTAGTGAGACAGACACGGTGAATAAAATGTGGGAAATGGAGCCTAGACAAGAATGGGGGAGGCCAAGAGGCCTGAATTAATGGCAACCGGGACTAACCTGACACCTACTCACCCATCTCAGGCCTGTCGGCTTTCACGTCTCTCTTTCTGTGTCTTATAGCTTAAAACTGTATTCCAGAACTTAGTGATATTTTAAAACTAACTACTAAGAAGGACTGAGCAAAGCTCTTGGATCTCTGCTAACTACATATTTGGCCAAACTGAAAACTGAAAGCGGCAGCCTGGATGGGACGTGGGTCTGTGGCAGCTCGCTCTCTCCCTCCTTCAGAGAAGCACCCGGGACTTCCTGCCTACGACTGCACATTCTTCATCTGGCACATTCAAAGGTGCCTACACCTTAGAAATTTCTGCTTCCAAAATGATAATAGAATCACACCCCCTCCTGCTGACAGTGGGATAATCCGAAATCCTGGCAGATTTTCAGTTTATAAATAATCAACTCTATCAGCGTGACTTGGGGCCTCTTTAGCACAATGCCAGGATTCTGCTTGGTCCAAGTAATATTTAAAGGAAACATCAAAGGACTCTATTCCTTTAGAAGGCTCAAAGGTACCTTATTTATGCTCTTTTACATCTAGTTTAGATGCCTTGATAAGGGTTTTAACATCTGAACTTTTCTTAGAAATCTTTTATCACTGTATAATGGTAATTCCCTTTTGTCTAAATCAAACCACCATGTCTTTTTAGTCTTAAAGAAAAAAACCTGTATAAATTGATATGTGTTCTAAGCAGTGATAAAACGAAAAAATAATTTTATTCCGCTAAAACAAAAAAATTTATTTCTCAGCTTCGGCGGTACGGACATTTTGGGGCTCGATGATCCTTTGTTGTGGGGTATCCTGTGCATCGAAGTCCAAGCATGTTCTACAGGTGCGTCACAAGGGGTCCTGGTCATGAAGGGTGTGCAGTGCATCAGTCATTCTCCCCAGAAGAGAGGACATTCGGGAGGTGACCATGTCTTTTTAAGGCAACCTACATAATGCTCTTTTCCCCCTTTCCTTCTAGTACCACTGGTATTAGAATAAAGAGAATTTGTAACTCAGTGGCTCTCATGGAAGAAAGAGGTGCTCAAAGGAAGGGTGACGTTATATATTTAATGTATTAGCTGTGAAGGTCAAGATGGAATTTACCACACCGATTGTACTTGCTCATCTTTCCCTTTCTGACTGTATGGTTCGCACACTTGCACACACACATCCATGCACTTGGACAGCCTTCACGTTAGTGTGACTGGCTCTGTCCCGAGGCTCAGCAATGACATGTGAAGGGCCCCTTTGGAAATTGACCTACTGGGAGGGTTCTTGCCAGACAGAACTATAGTCTCATTGTCTCGTGGTCTCGTAATGCACTGGTGTAAACAAAGGAAGGAGATGAAGAAAGTAAGAGTAGAGTAGGGACTCGGGTCCTTTTTAAATTAAAGGACTTCGTTTCTTTAAGCCACGAAGCTCAACAGCAGGATCTCAGCTCTAAACTAGCCATGACGTCTACATGACTGAATGTATTGCTTTCCTCTGTTGTGACATCCTTTCACTTTTTCTTCGAAAACTGCTACCATGTCAGATAAAATGTAAACTACTGCCAATTATAGTAATGATGCTTTTAATAAAAGTGACCCGTGATATGCAAAAAAAAATTAATAAATTTTTTAAAAAGATTTTTTTTGCAGCATTCCTGAGCTCTACTGCCAACATTGCTAACTGCTGGGGAGTAAGGGGTGTGTAGGGGGCAAAACCACTGGCTTGTACACATGGAGACCAAGGGAAGTCCTGAGGCCAGCTACCCAGAAGTCCCGGTGCAGAAAACGTGGACAGCCACGACACTGACAGAATGCCATGCTCATTAGAGTCCCCGCCTGTAACAGCCACACCTGCCCCCCAAGCAGCAGCTGTGTTGCAAGGGAAAGACCTCAGGTTGGGGTCTGGGTTCTGCTTCTCATCAGACGGGTCACCTTCCCTCTCTGAATGTCACATCACTCAAAAGCATAACGGGCACACTAATACCCACCTCACAGGGCAGCGCGATTCCTAAGAGACCACAGAGCCTCTGAATGCTCCCAGGTGATCTAACTGCAAAGATTGATTGTGGGCTTAAAGCAGACACTGTTCCAAGGCAGGGATTAACACTCACCAGAAAACCCGATTTCCTGTGTAACTGACTGTGGCAGCCTAACACCTCCCCCACAAGGAAGTCTACTTCCTGGGAACCCTTTCCACCAGGAGGGAGGCTGCACAGCAGCCTTCGTTCTGAACGGCAGCAGAGCCAGGGGCTAGCTGGCACCTGCCACCCCAGCCCGAGACGCAGACAGCTCACACCAGCCCCTGCGCAGGTGTGGGCTCCACTCTCACCTGGCGCCTGACTGGCCATCTGGCGTCTCAGTGCTGCCGCAGCGGCCGCCTGTGGAGCTGGGATGGTGTGGGAGGGGCCCGGCGCACCGTGCTTCACGGTTTTGGTTGCGAGCATTGTGCTGTCGGCCCCTTGAGGGATGATTTTGCTGGCAGACGCAGACGCTAAGGAAAACAAAGTAGGTCCGAGAAGAGGAAAACACAAAAGTTAAAATGGTCAATTCTCCATGTTAGGTTGCAGGGAAAACACCAAGATTAAAAACAGGAAAGTACCAGGAAACAGACAGGCTGATATCCACATCTTTCAAAGATGCCAATACAATTTGCCTGCCTGCCTCTACTAACTAAGATACTTCACACCAGTGATTTTCAGCTTGTTTCATCTCATGGCACGCATAAAGTAATCACTAAAATTCTGTGGCACACCAAAATATACGTTTTTTTGCCAAGCTGACAAAAAATAGCTATAATTTTGATTCATTCACACCAGACAGCGATTGTTGTGTTGTCTGTTGTCACAGTCCAAGTATGGCACGTTTTACAAATTCTTGCGGCACACAGGTCGAAAATCGCTGCTCTACACGATCACGTCCCATGACACCGATGGAAATGTAACCTTTATGCCAACACATCAATCTGACCGATTTCCCACTCTCCTCTCATAACACCTCTCCATCCCTATTGCACGCTGCTTGTTTGCTGTCAGAAGCCACTCAGAGCCCAGCCCCGACACTGACAGCACCGGTCCCCGCAGGGAGCCGACACTGATCCCTGCACGGACGTGCTGGCGAGCTGGGGCAGAACACGGCAGGAGCAGGGAGTGAAATGAGCTGGGATGTGCAGGGCACAGGGTAGACGCTGCCTCGCATGGAGGCAAACAGCTCCTGCTGTTCCTCCCGAAAAGACCTGTCTAAATAAATGCACACTGGACTCCACAGCAAAGTGGTGACAGTGCCAGCCTCGGCCTCTTCTTCCTCCTATGTCCCACCAACTGCTTCTAAGGTCACACACCCCCTTTGAACTGGTCTTCAAGTTTCTGAACTATTAGGCAGTATAAAACCCAGCTCCAGTTCCTTCCTAAGTTCAAAGCCTAATGGGGGGTGGTGGGGGGAGGGGGGAGTTTCCCATCTCCTTGTCTCCTTGTTTCCTACCTGAAGCTCCCAGCACGCCAGGTGGACCATGACTCAGGTGAGATTTAGCAAAAGGAGCTGCCGTCTGGGGCAAGAGACCCGGCTGGATGGAGGGAGTGCGCACCACGGGGGCGTGGCGAGGGACCTGGATCCCGGCATCATCATCTTTACAGGGTGCCTGTGTGTCCTCATTCTCCAAAGACTGGGAGATGGATGACGTGGAGCTGGCTTCATCCAAGTCTTCGTAATATCTCTGAGACAGGAAAGCTGACCGAGACAGGCTGGCTACAAAGCCCCAAACAAAACCCAAGTCAGTAATGAAGCAGCCCAAGAGCTATGTAATTTCCACTGTGGACAGACAAATAGCCAATCTGCAAAATGACTTAATTATTACTTATTTTAAGTGGAAGCAGCTACTGTCGAATGTGAATAAAGATGGTTTGGGGTCTCTGCTCAAATGGGGCTTTGAAATATCGAGCCATGTATGACAGAACTCTTTGATTGTGAAACAAAAAAACGTGAAGTGAGAGGCAGAATGAATGCTGGTGTGAACGTGGGAGAGCTGGTGCCCTCGGCGGATCCCACAGGCAGAGTAATAACGTGTCAGAAAAGTAACAGAGAAGCTTCCGCATCACGGGGAAGTCGCACCACTGCTGTCACATTTCCACAATAATTTCTAAGAACAGGCCTAATGCAAACTGGTAACAACAGAAGGTCCTCAGTCCTGACTGCCTCAGACATTTGCAGCTAAATCTATCGATTCTTTTGATCAATTAGGTCTAAAAATACCGTCCCCATTAAAAACTAACTCCCCATTCTGCTCTTCCCTCGGCCTCTGGAGACCGCCGTTCTACTTTGTCACTATGAATTTGACTGCTCTGCTTACTCACAGAAGTAGGCTCATACAATATTTGTCTTTGTGACTGGCATTTTCCTTAGCACAATATCCTAAAGTTTCATCCACAGTGTAGCATGTCAGAATTTCCTTCCTTTTTAAGATATGGATACACCCCATTTCACTTATCTATTCAATCCATTGGGTGTTTGGCTTGCTTTTACTTTCAGCTATTGTGAATAATGCTGCCATGAACATGAATGTACAGAATATCTGTTTGGATTCCTACTCTCCAGTCTTTGGGGTATATACCCACGAGTGGATTGTTGGACCCTATGGTAATTATTTAGTTTTTTGAGGAACCACCAGCTGTGTTCTATAGCGCAGCACCCTTTACATTCCACTAACGGTGCACAAGGGGCCCAATTTGTCCCCTTGTGCAATCCTCACTAACACTTGTCATTTTCTGTTTTACAGTAAAGGTTTGTAAGTTTCTAATTAAAAAATATAAAAGTATGAAATTATAAATGCAACAGTCCCAGTCTCATTTTCAAAAAATCAAATTTATAGATACAAAGAAAAAAATTTAAGAGTAAACCAAAATGACATAATTGATGACATATTTGGGTTGAGGCATAAGAGTAACTTTTATTCTTCATTATATTTTTCCAATTATCTACTAAGAGAAGGTATATATATATATGTTTAGATAATGGAAATGATTGTTAAAAAGATTTCACTTGCCTGTGACTATTACCTTACCTAATTTAGCTTTATATGATTACAGAAAAATTAATGAATGGTGGTACAGTAAGATTAAATTTCCATCCTATTTTAATTACCAAAAAAATAATTGGCTGCTGGTATAAAAAAACCAGTTTCAACTCAAAACAGAAAAAAGAAAAGCAGATACAAGCACAAAAGCAAAGCACTACTATGCCTGAAGCTGTGTATAACATGGTTATCTAGGTAATTTAATAACAAAAACAAGTTTTTTTCACTGGTTTTATGGCTTCTTTTCAGTAAGTGTTTTTAGCCATCATTCCCTAACCAGTGGGTTTTTCTCTATCTTCTTAAAAAAAAGAAGCCCTTTTTTCAAATACAATCTTACTCAAACCCCACACAAACCAGGGAAGTCAACTTTCTAAAGCAGAGGCTACGAACCGTGGAGCCAGCTCAGTGTCCCCAAACCCTTGGGAAGCACTGCCACTCAATCTGGGGACTGCAGAAAACAGGGAGGTAAAGCCAAAACCACCCCTCGAGCTGCTTGGCCGAGCAGCTCCTACTCCAGCATTCAGATGCACAACAGATTCTAGGGACATTTCCTCCAGCTCCTACTAGGAACCAAAAGGAAAACACAGACACAGACAGACACCCCCCCACTCCCACACCAGGTGCTGTTTGGTTTGTGCTAAGAGTTCAGGCCCGGCTCCTCTACCTGGCGCCGTGGTCAGTTGTGAGGGGTGATCCCTCTAGGCAAGGAGCTTCGTGTGGTGCCCGCATTACAGGGGGCCTTACAGACACAGACAGACACCCCCCGACTCCCACACCAGGTGCTGTTTGGTTTGTGCTAAGAGTTCAGGCCCGGCTCCTCTACCTGGCGCCGTGGATCTCACTGGTGGGGTCTTCCTCTTGGCCAGGAAGTTCCTCAGCTGTGCCTGTTTCACGGGGGACAGTTTAGCTGCAAGAAATTCATGAGCGATAAATGCTTACAACCTGGTCAGTAGAAGAAAGAACACCAATAGCTAAGAACTGGGAAGAACGCACTTACCTGGTACTTTCGGCAAGGGTTTGGTGTGAGACTCTATGGTGGTTTTCAACAAAGCATTGCGCAGGCTTTCCAGGTCACTGTCAAAACTGAAGTGCGACAGTGTCATATAGAAACCAACTATGACCAGAGAAATCTGAGGGGTGGGCGTGCATTGTCCTAAATATAAGTGCAAGAAATGAGAGCATCCCCCATTCAGAAATAGGCCATCTGACCAATCGATGTAATCAATCCAAAGGAAAGAGATGGCAACCATAACATCACCACCCCCCGGGACACGCACTGAGAGAGCTTCGGCAGAAGGGGCAATGAACACCAACACATCTGGCTTAAAGGCGAAACACAAAACCACCTGGGGAACGTCAAGGGTAAACTGCCTAACTGCTAGGGTCTGAAAGTTCCCACACTCAAGCAAAATGACAAACCTAAACTCTGAAACAAGTGAGTCAACCTAATCCTACCAGTTAATTTTCAAAAAAACAATACTGTTACCATAGTGTCTACTATCACCTACTGAGCACCAGTCTCCTCACACACACTACTGGGTGCTTTCTAGACTGAATTTAACTCCCCAACAACCCTGGGAGGCATATATTGTTATCCCCATTTTTTAAGCAAAGGAACAGAGGATCAGAGAGGGTGAGGAACCTGACCAGGGTCACACAAGTGACAGACAGCGGTCACTTTCAAACCCACATCTGAACCACTTTAAGACAATCCCACTGTACTCCCCAGTACGTATCCATTCACTCAGCCACACTGACTGAGTGCCAGTAGCTAGAGCCCCTTCTCCCGCACACCTGTGAGTGCTGCTCTGGGAGGGCGCTGCCGAGGGAAGGCGCCACTGGGAAGTCTGGTTGTAAAGTCGCAGCTGCTGGAGACTGTCCACCAGGCAGTTCAACCTCTTCCTCTGCTGGTTGATGATCTCCCGGTTGTTGGCCAGGGTGTTAAACAGCGTCTCTCGCTCCGGCACAAGCAGGCGCCTGTTGACAGCAATGAGAAAAGAATTCAACGTGAGTCAAGTACAGAAACCTCCCACAGAAGAAGAAGACTACAACTGTAACAGTGAAAAGACTAAAACAGAGAATCACCAGCGGACAGAGAGCATCAGGAAATACTAGAACGTGAAAAAGGGACGAAAGCCTAACGAGGCCTGCAGGCACAATTGGCACAATCCCAGAGGCCCTGGGTACAACAGGGTGGGAGACGTGTCAACAGGGGACAGATTCATTCAGCAGCATACTTAGGACATGTGCTATTTCCTGTGTGTAAGTCACATTCAATAAAAGAAAAGGCCCAGGAAAGCCGATGGGAGTCAGTCATCTCTTCAGATGCTGCCAAGAATCAGTGGGGGAGAGAGCACGCAGGAGCAGGAAGGAGCACCCATCCCAGGAACTGCAACAAGAAGGGCCGGTTCCCTTTCCTTCAGGTGACAGGTTAGTTCAAAATTTAAAAAAAATTTTTTTATTTTAAAATATATTTTTCATTTCAAAGAGGAAGGGAGAGGGAGAGAGATAGAATCATCAATGATGAGAAAACATCATTGATTGGCTGTCTCCTGCATGCCCCCCACTGGGGACTGAGTCTGCAACCTGGGCATATACATTGACTAGGAATTGAACCATGTTGTGACCTCCTGGTTCAAAGGTCGATCCTCAACCACTGAGTCACACAGATGGGATCAAGATAAATATTTAAAAACACGTATCAAGCCGAAACCGGTTTGGCTCAGTGGATAGAGCTTCGGCCTGCGAAATGAAGGGTCCCGGGTTCAATTCCGGTCAAGGGCATGTACCTGGGTTGTGGGCACATCCCCGGTGGGAGATGTGCAGGAGGCAGCTGATCGATGTTTCTCTCTCATTGATGTTTCTAACTCTCTGTCTCTCTCCCTTCCTCTCTGTGAAAATCAATAAAATGTATTAAAAAAACAAAAACAAACCGCACGTATCAATAGGGTACAAGGTAATGCTTATACAAAGGCCTAAACAGAAACACTAGAAAACTGCACAGACTTAAGAATCTGAACTCTGCATAAAGGGAATTAAAAATAAAGCACACGAGGTAGTAAGTCCACAGAGCTGTCATAAAGGAGAAGCAAGCCGGCTTCCCTGTTCTGAGAGAGAAACCTAACTGTCAAGCAGAGCAGGACACGCACACTGCCTGGTCACGCCGTCCTCTCCATGTGGCTGAACGTGAACTCAGGACTAGGGAGGGAGCTGTGAAATCTCCACTGGGGCCCCACTGCCACAGGGCCAGGTGCCCCAGGCCACAGGTGAGGAATCCTCCCCACAGTGTCGGAGGGACCAACACTCACCTCTATCTCCCCTACCTATGTTCCAAGCAGACTCCTCAGGTTGGGCACAAAGCCATTCTCCAGGTGGTACAATATAACGCGTTCAATCCTGCTCACTGAATTTTAAGCACATTCTGGCCCTGCCCCTGACATCCCACCCAGGCTGCCCCACTTAAAGTTCTGTGATCCCACAGCTTTATAAACAGGTAAACAGAGCATTTCTTGGTTTGCTTCCCCACACGGCTAATCCACTGATCAAGTGTAGGTGTTTCAACATGGAACGCGTGGAGGGCTGATCTGTTTTTCCAATTTCTCATTGGCACTCAACTATTCTAACAATGTACTGCATTCTGTTCCTTGTCATACCTTTGTCATCATTCCTCTCGTCCTTCTAATTAGCCACACTAATCAGGAATGTTTCCTTAAAAAGAAAACTTGGAATATACAAGAGTATAAAGATAAAATTCCTCTTAACCCCACCTCGCAGCTGTATCTGTGATAATATTGTGAGATTAATTTCCAGCCTCTTTTCAATGTTTAGTTCTCCATGTTGAGATCACCCAGTATTTTGTCTTACCTTTTTCTTTTTTTTAAAATATATATTTCTTTATTGATTTCAGAGAGGAAGGGAGAAGGAGAGAGAGATAGAAACATCAATGACAAGAGGGAATCACTGATCGGCTGCTTCCTGCACACTCCCTACTGGGGATCAAGCCCGCAACCCAGGCATGTGCCCTTAACTGGAATTGAACCTGGGACCCTTCAGTCGGCAGGCTGACACTTTATCCACTGAGCCAAGCTGGCTAGGGTTTGTCTTACTTTTTTCATATTACATATATTGTATCTAATAATCTATATTTATAAAAGCCTAAGCAATCGGCTGACTAGCTGGTAGCTATGATGCACACTGACCACCAGGGGGCACTCAATGCAGGAGTGGAAACCACAGGCATAGAAACATGGAACAGACTGGTGAATCTCAGAGGGAAGGGAAGAGGGGAGAGGGTGGGAAGAGATTAACCAAAGATCTTATATGCATACTAGAGGCCTGGTGCACGAATTTGTGCACATGTAGGGTACCTCGGCCTGGCCTGTGGGGATCGGGCCGAAACCGGCTCTCCGACATTCTCTGAGGAGTCCCAGATCGCGAGAGGGCACAGGCCAAGCCGAGGGACCCCACTGGTGCACAAATCCATGCACCGGGCCTCTAGTAGTTATATAATCACAATCTTGTACACTCCCTGTAACATATCTTTAATGTGGTATTTGGAGAACATGCTAGTCCATGGTTATGTCTATATTAAGAGAAAAAGACCAGACTCTGAACTCCTCCTCTAAGCCGTGGGTAAGCAGGGTTAATCCAATTTGTCTGCATCATGAGCTAGCTGAGCTGATAGAAATTCTCTGATGCACCCTGTTGTGAGCACTGCTATTATGTCTGCAGAACAAATATCTGGGAGCAGAAAGACGGGGTTGATGAGAATGAACATTTCAGGGTTTTATCCATGTTCCTAAATCTTTTGAAAAGGTGGCAGCGCTATTTCCTGCCCCCGGTGGGGGATGGGACCTCGCTTACTTTTGTTTTCTCTTTTGTTCCAGATGCTGATCCCACTCCAAGTCTAGAACATCATTCACATCTTGGACAGCAAACTTCACATATTGATGAAGGCGCCGAATTTCCTACAAGAAAAAAAAATGACTCCATTTTCCAGTAGCTTGGAGAAAGATGTATCAAAACAATCAAAATAATTTTCAATTATTTTTATATTGAGAACCATAATGAACAAAGAACACATACTAGGATTTAACACAATCATCAGAACATTACAATCCAAATGAAATCCAGAAACTCAACCTTTCTGAGGGTGTGGCAGGGAGGTGGGGTAGAGAAACAGAAACAGAAAGGGTGTCAGTCCAGGGCCTCCAGGGAACAAAAGTTCTTGCTTAGCTCTCATTTTTCAGTTCCTCTGAAGTAACTCAGCCTGGCCTAGGAATTTTCCACTGCACTCTGGTACTCCGACAGGGCATCCATTTAGGTTTTGTTTCCTGACCCATGAAATTAACTGTGCTAGAAACAAAATTATCCTACAAAACAGTGCTGAAAATAATTCTGAACCAATTTATTCAGAACACAGAAATCTCACCAATTGAGAAAATTTCATTTCTCCAAAACAAACAAAAAAAATAGCATCAACACTAGAAAGTGCATTAAACTCTTATCTATTAACTTATTTTAGGCCTGCAATAATTTCTTTAAATTTTGATCCAGTGTTAACCTTCATGCTATCCAACTTGATTTTCAAAAATGAACAACAAAGACGAAGCAGTCCGTTAAATGTGTAAGCAAATGAAGACAATGTGCACACACAGGGAAAGCTCTCTGCATCTGTGTTTAAACGTAGCTTAAAATTATCCTTGGATACGGGTATGTGTCCCAACTGAAAAAGAGGAAATGTCGTTGAAAGAGAGTCAAGCTGGTTCCAGGAAGCGGCAGTAACCTCAGCATCAAATGTAGATTTCAGCCAACACCTGGCTAGGGGAGGCCCTTTCTCTGAACACTCAGGCGCAACGAGCCCTCCGTGCATTAGCTCCCGAGTGCTCTCCCGACTTCACCTCTCAGAACACCCATGCTTCTTTTGCGGCCCACCAGAAACACTTCTTCTCTGTGGCCTCGCTGCTCCCCCGCCTGTAATCCCACAGGAACACATCCACACTGCGTTTGTGTGCTCATCTTCCCCACTGCCACTGAGCCAGCTGGAGGGGCTGCACGTGGTAGTGTGTGGTCAGGAGCACAGGCTCTGAGCCAAACTGTCCAGGCTCAAGGGTCCAGTGCGTACTAGTGGTGAGACGTTGGTACTTCCAGGACATTTCTTTTGTATAGGGCATGAACTGATACATGCCAGCTACTATGGTCTATTTAGCACTGTGAAAAGAGAAACTGACTTATTTTTGAATGGGAGTGTTTCCCAATAGCTGTATGCTTTTCTTTTAGTTTGGACGCAGAGCAGGAGGTGAAAAGGCAGTAGGAAGCAAGTGTGACTGGATGAAGAGTGCAGGCCGTGTTTAGCACCCCCTTGCTAGGAGGGTTAATGTCCACCATGGAGGAGCATCTAGGGATCCCTCAGGGCTGTGGGCACAGCCAGGGCTCCTCCCTTTCTGGGCGGAGGGACCATGTCTCTCCTTTTCCTACTGTCAGAAAGTTTATCAGGTGAGGCCTGTGGATGGCGGGTTTTCTGGGCAGAAGGGGTTCCTCACCCTATAGGCCCTCACGTGCTGGGTGAGGGTGACCAGCACTGTCCTCTGTGCCCCACTTCTACAGGGGTTCTAGGCAAATGCAAGGAACTGGGGATGATCCCCCACCCAGCTAATGGTACAACAGTTTGGAATAAATTGAAAGATGAAAACAAAAACCAGATCTCACAAACAGAGAATAAGAATAATTAACAATTAATGAGAAAAGTAGCGTTGCTAAATTATGGCACACAGGAAAGCACCCGGGCAAGAGGAGATCTTAATCCTGGTTCCACTCCTACCACCACCACCGCCTTGGGCAGGCTCCCTCGCCTCTATGGCTCACCGTCCTCATCTGTACACTGGGATCGGAAACTCGAGTCTTACAGAGCAGCTGGTTTTAAAGACTAGAAATAATGTGTAAAAAACACCCCGCAGAGCACCTGGTGCTCAATGAGTAGTTGCTACTTTAATAGTTATTATTCATGACTTGATTTCTCAATGTATCTTTTTCAACAGCATACTTTCTACCAAGCTGAGGGTTTAGTTAAGAATTCCATTTTTGTTTAATCCAAAAAGCATTACGTGGAAGAGTCCCATCTTCTCTATCAGTTAAGGAAGTCGATGGGGAACAGGTAAAGTATTCACAGGAAGTGAGCCAATTCGTAAGACAGTCGCCCGAACCCAGGCTTCGAGGAGAACGGCGAGGCCGTGCGGCCAGCGCTCTGCTGGGTCCTACCTGGAGCTGCGCCTCACTCCTGGGGTCCAGAGGTCTCCTGTAGAGCAAGTGCCGGTACCCCGAGTCACGGTTCCTCGCACTCTGTTCCCTGGCTTCTTCAACACCAGCGAAGCCCTCAAGTAGAGTTGTTTTCAGGGCGCTTATATCTCCATGAAGAGACTACGAAAGGAATAGGATGTACTGATAAAAGGTGGTATTTCTAAGAAATTAACCTTTCTGTTCTGGATCAAGGAAGGTGGTGCTTCTCAAATAGTTAACATGGTGAACACTGAATACAGTTAATAGTCATGCAAAAACAGAATTTCACTGCTTAGAGAAAGATACCAATGTTCTTTTTTTCCTTGTAATTTTGTGCTGTTGTTAATCCTCTTCCGAGGACTTTTTTCTCCATTGATTTTTAGAGAGAGTGAAAGGGAGAGAGAAACATCGATATGAAAGAGATATACTGATTAGTTGCCTCCCACATGTGCCCTGACCAGGGCGAGGGATCGAGCCTGTAACGGAAGTATGTGCCCTTAACCAGAATCAAACCCGGGATCCTTCAGTCCATGGGCTGATGCTCCAACCACTGATCCAAACTGACTGGGGCTATTTTTTTTTTTTTAATTTTCTTTTTTCTCTTTTTTAGTCTACCAATGTTCATTTAAAAAATTATTTTTCTTTCTCATTATGAAACTGTTTCTGCTCGGCTGGCATGGCTCAGTGGTTGAATGTAGACCTATGAACCAAGAGGTCACAGTTCGATCCCCAGTAGGGGGCGTGCATGAGGCAGCCAATCAATGTCTTATTGTTGATATTTCATTTTTTAAAAAAATATATTTTATTGATTTTTTTACAGAGAGGAAGAGAGATAGTGAGTTAGAAACATCGATGAGAGAGAAACATCGATCAGCTGCCTCCTGCACGCCCCCCACTGGGGATGTGCCTGCAACCAAGGTACATGCCCTTGACTGGAATCGAACCTGGGACCCTTCAGTCCACAGGCCGACGCTCTATTCACTGAGCCAAACCAGCTTGGGCTATCATTGATATTTCTATCTCTCTCACTCTCCCTTCCTCTCTGAAATCAATAAAAGTCTATTTTTTAAAAAAAGAAGAAAGAAACCAGTTCTAATGATCGAAAATTCAGAGAATAAGTATTAACAGTAGCTGTAATCTTACCGAAGACAATCACTGCTAACACCCTGGAGAACTTCCCCTTTCAAACATTTGAAAGTAAATTTTCAAATACTACTTAAACTAACAACTGGCCACTTTGATGGAGTGCCTTGTACGTGTCAATAGGGTAGAAGCTATTATCATTCCACTTCCCATGAGAAAACTAAAACAGAGCAGCTAGATTAACTTGCCCAAAGTCATCTAGTTTATTAAGTGCTAAAGGTAGAATGTGAACTTGGGCATTCCTCCGTGAACGACTCACACACATAAGAAACAACACTGTGGTCCTTGAAGAAAAAGCATACACAGCCATGGAGTACTAGGAGCAGAACTGTTAAAAGTGCAATCAACTTCGGAAGACCATTCGTAAACACGAACCTCGGTGGTGTCTTTAATCTCCAAAAGAAAGCCGTGCAGGTCATCCGATTCTGTCCGCAGCATCTTCATCTCCTCAGAGGTGCCCACTTGGAAACAGGCTTTCGCAGTTCGAGCTTTCAGCTCTTCCAGCTCCTTCTGAAAGTGCGCGATCTGCAGAAGCCACACCCAAGGAGACTTCTTAGTGCGAATGGCACAGCAGTCACGTCACCGCTACTGGGCTCACTGACTGCCCAGACTCCTGGGACACGCCAAGGCTCAAAGCCAGAATGAAACAGCCATGTGGGAAAAACATGCAGGAGCAAGCTTACCTCCTCGCCAATTCCAACGATCACAGGGTCTGACTCTTTCCACTGATGTCCCTGCTTTTCTGTCACAGGAGTTGCAAGTGACTTCGCCTGAAATGGAAGGCAAAACATTTAAAATGTACCCAATACTCCAAGTACGGCTTCTTGAAGCAATGGGTTCCATGCCTATCACAGGTAGCATCACTCTCGTAACAGTCATTGTTCTGTCATTCATTCCTTTGAGCCCGGATTTCCTGGGTATCTGCTTGGTAGAAGGCATGCTTAGACAGTGGAGAAGAGGTTAACAAGATAAATGAGACCCCTATACTCAGGGAACGTATCTTCTACTGGGATAAAACAAATAATAAAAAGTAAACAAATCAGATAAATTTCAGCTGGTAATAGTGGTATGGAATAGTAAACAGGAACATATAAAGAGAATAAAAGGGGGGACTACTTGAGGTGAGGTGGCCCGATAGCAATTAACATAGAGTTTTTAAAATGTATATGTATTGCCCTAGCCGGCTTGGCTCAGTGGATAGAGCTTCAGCCTTCGGACTGAAGGGTTCCAGGTTCGATTCCGGCCAAGGGTACATGCCTGGGTTGCAGGCTCAATCCCAGTAGGGGGCGTGCAAGAGGCAGCTGATCAATGATTCTCTCTCCTCCCTTCCTCTCTGAAATCAGTAAAGAAATATATTTTAAAAAAATGTGTATGTATTCATTAAAACAGCGAACATTTATTTAACAAACACCATGTGTCCGTCACTGTGCCAAAAGCCAGACCTGTGAACTATTTACTGTGTGCCTATACTGTGTGCTGAGGGCAAGTGGGGGTTGGCTGGGAGAGTGACAGAAGAAAAGACATGACTCCTATTCTGAGGATACTAACATAATCTAGTGGGAAACTGACATAAAATCATCTTTAAGTTACACCATAAAAATAAACTGAGATAACAGACTGTAGATCTAAATATGAAAAGATAATAAAGCTTGTAGATAAACATAGGAGGGGAACAATTTGTAAAGTATATGACTGTCTAACCACGATGCTGTACACCTAAACTAACACAAAATAATACTGAAAGTAAACTAATTGAAAAATAAAAAGGAAAATATCTTTTTACCTTGGAATAGGAAATGATTTAAAATAGAACACAGAAAGAACTAATCATAGAATAAAAATTGATATATGAAACTATATTAAAATTAAGAATTTGCAGTCATCAAAAGAAACCATAAATAGAATGAAAAGGCAATTCACATACTAAGAAAGTAATTACATTATATGTGTGTGTGCGTATGTGCATATGTATATATGGAACTAACTTTTACAAATCACTAAGAAAAAGACAGAAAACTCAATAGAAAAATGAGTAAAAAACCGTGAACAGTCACCCATATTCACATGACCAATAATCATATGGAAAAACTCAATTTTACTGGTCATCAGGGAAATACAAGTTGAAACCACAAAATACACCAACAATAAACGATGAAAAATACCAAGATTGGTGAAGACATGGAACAGCTGAACGCGCATACACGCCTGGGAATTGTGAGGAATAAAGGCACCATCTAGGACCAGCAATTCCACATGGGTATTTACTCAACAGAAATGCTTATGTTGAGTAACATCACCTAGCAGGGTCACTGCAACACTGTTCACATAACTCAAACCTGGGAGCTGCTGGCATGCCCACTGAGATGGAATGAACACATGTAGGACAGCCACCCCATATGATATGCATAAACCTCACCAATATAATGATGAGCAAAACAGCCAGATACAAGAATACATGCCGTGCGATTCCGTTTATAGAAGGCACAGACAGGCTTAGCTAAGCTGTACTGTCAGGAATTATGACAGCTGAGCCCCTTTGGCAAGGTAGCAACTGGAAGGGCACAGACGAGGGGCATTCTGGGGTCCTGGTCACTTTCCATTCCTCAATCTGAGTGTTGGTTACCCAGGTGTAGCCAGCTGGTGACAATTCACTCAGGCGTGTGTGTCTCCCATGAGTACTTTTTCCCCTATGTATACAATATGTCAATAAAAGTTAAATAAGTAAAATCAACCGAGATGGTGAGGAAAAGGGGAACTGGATAGATTTCTTGATTACTTTGAGAATAAGAGAAAAATCAGATGCCACGGTATTTTCAGACAAGAGACTACAACAAACTGAGAGCATCAGTTCCTGTGTAAGCTCAGGACCCAGCAGAGGAAAGGGCGGAAAGACTCTAGAGCTGAGGTACATTTGTAATGTGAGCACAGAGCACACATTACAAATACTCAAAACTCACATATTTCCCACCACACAGTCCTAAGAACTATTGCAAAAGTGTAAATTCTAAAACACAAAAACCCATTTTATAAACATGTCTGCAGGGGCAGTAAATGAACAGGCAGAGGATTGCGAGTGAGGTCCAAGTACCTGGGGAGAGCCTGCCTTGGCCACCGGAGCGGTTATCCTGGGTGATTTCTGTCCCAGGGAGGACACTGGGCCTGGGCCGCCATGAGCAGATCGCCCTGCCAGAACAAGAAGTCCATTAAAACAGGCAGCATTTACTCCCGCTACTTCTCCCATCTCAAGTGCCCCTTCCTCACACAATAGTAAAGCTTCGCATTGTCCCTGGCCCCTTTTATGATCTTTGTCATCACTGTGGAGTGATGGGCACAGCTGTGTTAGCCCCGGTTCCAAGGTAAGTAAAAAGCACGCATTCCATTTTTAGCAGCGGGAATTCTTTCATAAAGCAGGTAAAACGAGGGTGTCTCTGAGAACAGGCAGGAGAACGGTGGGCAGGCCCAGGCCAGTCAGCCGGCCCCTCCTTACTCCTCACAGAGGCTCCTGGTGCACCTCAGGGAACCGAGGACAGTATAACCCATCAGATGAGACCAATGATCCCCATCACCTTGTAAGAACTCACAGGATCGTCGGACCCTCCTGGAAGCCTCTAACACAGTGGTTCTCAACCTTCCTAATGCCGCGACCCTTTAATACAGTTCCTCCTGTTGTGGTGACCCCCAACCATAAAATTATTTTCGTTGCTACTTCATCACTGTAATTTTGCTACTGTTATGAATCGTAACGTAAATATCTGATATGCAGGATGTATTTTCATTGTTACAAATTGAACAATATTAAAGCATAGTGATTAATCACAAAAACAATATGTAATTATATATGTTTTCCGATGGTCTTAGGCGACCCCTGTGAAAGGGTAGTTCGACCTCCAAAGGGGTCGCGACCCACAGGTTGAGAACCACTGCTCTAACACATAGCTCACCCGCTGCGCATTAGAATCATCAGGGGAACTTTTATTTTGTTTTTTAAAATATATTTTATTGATTTTTTACAGAGAGGGATAGAGAATTAGAAACATCGATGAGAGAGAAACATCAATTCAGCTGCTTCCTGCACACTCCCTACTGGGGATGTGCCTGCAACCAAGGTACATGCCCTTGACTGGAATCGAACCTGGGACCCTTCAGTCCGCAGGCCAACTTTCTAGCCACTGAGCCAAACTGGTCAGGGCAATCAGGGAAACTTTTAAAAGAAAACAAACACACCATATGGCCTGAGTGTGCACCGAAAGGCTGACAGTTCAATTCCCAGTCAAGGTACATATCTGGGTTACGAGTTTGACGCAGTTGGAGACTGTGCAGAAGGCAAGCAACTGATGTTTTTCCCTCACACTGATTTTTTTCTCACTCTCCTCCACCTTCCCTTCCTCTCTCTCAGCATGTCCTCAGGTGAGGATGAAAATAAAATACTAAATATAAAAATACAAACACGCCAAAACCCCAAGTGTCACTCCAGAGAGTCTGGTTACACTCCTAGGGGATGGATCCCCCACGAGTCCAGTGTGCAACTGGGACCGAGAGCCAATAAACTGGGCCCCCTTCCCCCCCAACTTTAAGAATTAAATAATGGCACAGGGTGGGGCAGATGTGGGTGGTGAGCAGCAGAAAGTAAGAAAGTAAATGTGCACTAAGATTCCAGTTTTCTCTCCCAAACCATAAAGAGACGTGAAAAGACTAAGGCGAGGCTTCTGAACTTTTGGGTCTTATACGATGCCTTCAGATTCTCATGAAAAGTCCCAGCATGAGGAGACTGGCAAACCCCACAACGCAGCCCTTTCTCCTGAGCAGCAGGTAAAGAGATGATTTCAGGCATTTCACAGCTCAATGCCTGCTTGATATTTACCGAAATAAAATTATTCCCATCACACAAACACCAAATGGTTACCTAAATGTCTGGCTAGGTATTACTGCTGGCATTCATGACAATAACCAAGTTAAACACTGAGTCCGGCAAACACCACTGTAAGCAATGGACCAAAGACCATCACCACGTCAGGACAAACCAATCATGCGGTGTGACATGCGTCACCCGTGTGGTGTGACTGCTCCAAACGCTTCAGCTGAACCTCATGCAGGACAAGTAGATCCAGAGTGAGGGACCGCCCACACACCTACTGGCCTGACCTCTTCCGAAATGTCACTGCTATAGAGACAAAGAGGTGGCAAGTGTATGAGGCTGAGACTGAGACCCAGGTGGGATACACTGTGATCACTGACAGGCTCCTGGCTCAAAGGGGGAGACCCCATAAAAACCATTATGGGGATAACTGTGGAAATGTGCATTTGGGTGGTAGATTATGTTAAATTTCCTGCAGTGACAATGGATTGTGTGCCCTTGTTTTTAGTAGAGATACTGAAGTACTTAGATGTGAAGTGTTTCATGTTGTAATTAACTCTCAAAGGTTTTAGGAAAAAATGTATTCAAACAAATGGTGCACAATGTTATTAGCAAGTGTTGAATTTTGGTGAAGGGTATAGTATCTCTATATATAAAATAAGAGAAATAAGCTAATTAACAGGGATGTCATAATGGGTTGATCGGACAGGAGGTTGGGCGGGCAGCATTGGGGGCGGGGCAGCAGGGGCCTCCACGCGCCTGCGCTGGGGGAGGGCTTGATCAGCAGCAGCCATGGCTGCTTCAAGGGCTGGAGAGGGAGGCAGGGCTGGACTGGCAGCAGTCATGGCTGCTGGGGGCTCAGGGAAGGAGTCAGGGGCAGACGGCAACTTGAGGGTGGGCGGTGCCTCGGATTTTGAGTCACGCGCTGGGCTCCTAGTTGATTATATAACTTTTGCAACATTTCTGCAAGTTTGATAGGAAAAAAAGATAATTTGCTCTTGGAGTTTCATAATGCACTTGAATTCAACCTGGCTGTCATAATTATTTCCACGATGATCTTTATTTAATAAATCTGCTCACAGTAGGGCTGAGCATGAAAATTCAAGACAGTCATTAGAGGCAATAGTGTGACAGCCACCGAGGCTTAAAGCATTGTTCTGCTCTGGCCCTTCACAGCAGGCAGGCTCCCAGGGAAGATAAAGGCTGGACAACAACTCGCATCATCAAGTGTCAAGTGCACAGGAGGCATGTCAGAGAGGGCGTGGCAGCCCTGAGGCCACTGCGAAACCTCCCTAGGCAGACAGCAGAGTGTGAGATACAGGAGGCACGAAAAAATAACCAAGTCCAACCACCTTAGCTGGGCTTAACTACTGAGAGATGCTAATCTGAGAATTCAGGACGGAGCTCTAAAGCAGTGTATTTAAACCCTACCTGATGCTGAGGGGGAGGCTGAGGACTTGGCTGACACGGAGCTGGACGATGCTGAGAGGGGCGTGGGGTGGCTGAGAGGTCCGGAAGAAGCTGGCTTGGAGGCGGAGAAGGGCAGCATCGGGGGTGTGCTCGGTGAGCTGTTAGGAGCAGAGGCAGCCACGGCAGTGAACCTGAGAACGGCAGCCCGAATGCATCAGAATAGCCTGCTGAAGACTCTTCCGTGCTGCTCGTGAGCAAAGTCATTATCAAAGGATAACCCACTATCCAGACTTTTTAGCCTTCAAGAAATGTAAATGTTTTTAGCCACTTTTTATAAAAGGTGAAAGCTGCAAGAAACATTGATCTGATCTTCTGCTTATTTAGGAATGAGTCAGTCAATAAAAACATCAAATAAATACTTAACAGGAAAACGAAACTAAGTCTATCATGATAGGAAATATTTTCTATTCTATCAAGCTGAGTAGAGCAAAAAGGGTGGGACTCAGTTATGCTTAGGAGAGTTCAGTAACCTCTTTTTGCCAACATTACTGAGAGCTCGTTGAGGGTGATCACAGCCTCTGAGGAGTGAGAGAGGAAGAGGGAGGCACGTCACCCTCTTTGGGATGTTCAGTCCATGGGGAATGTCAGGTAAGTTTCACCTAAAGAGCAAAGGTCTGTAAACAATCTCAACATCCAGCATTAGATGATGAGACAGTAAATTAACATGCAGCCACAAAATGGAACACTAGGCAACTATGAGAATGAAGTGACTGTGTGACAACTGAACATCGGCAATGACAATGGCGCAGTGTTGACAACACCTCCACAGCCACGAGAGAGTCCGGATGAGTGTGGGAGTGCTGGCAGTGTCTACTCCGGATGGCTGTCTTGGGAAGGGCTACGAGGTCTAAGGAATCACTTCGTTCAGGAGGCTTACAGTCTAGTGGGGTGAACACCACAAGCAGATAAAGAAGTAAAAAGTAAGATGGGTGAGCTGGTCGATCCAGATCTGGAGGGAACTGGGATACCAAGTTACGAAGTTTGGGCTGTACTCGGAGCAACGAAAAGCCACGGAGCTGCCAAGCAGGAGTCATTGATGTGAATACAATTTCACACGGTCACTGGTGGCCACATAGAAAACAGTGCAGAGTCTCAAGGGTGGACAAGAAATTCACTTCCCCTACAGGATATATACTTTGTGTGGCTACATTTTTTAAATAAGGGATATCACCTACATTTGAAACCTGAAAAAGCAAAAAACTATTTAAATATAAAGCTCTAATCATCATCATCATCATCATCATCATCTAAGAATCCCTTCTGGACACGAATGAAATGCAAACCTTTTATGTTATTTGAATTTTTGTGATTTGCTAGTATTACTTTGGAAAAAAATGAAAAACAAACAAAAACCCCACAGAAAATCACTGAGTAACTGCACTCACAACAGCTGTTTCGGTGAGTAACACAGGTGCCCCCACCCACCCTACGGGAAAATCAAACCCAAGTGTAACTTACTTTTCGCCAAGGTTGAGCTTGACAGCGGAGGCCGAGGGTGGGAAGGAGGGCTTCAACACAACGCCGGGAGTGGACGCACTTGGCATCGGTGTGCTTTCCAAGGGAGGCTTAAAACCCGATGAGCCAAAGGAGAACGAAGCAGCTGCGGGCGCCATGGGAGAGGCCGTGGGCGTGGGTGCCAGGGGGGCTTGAGGAGGAGCGAACGAAAAGGTGGCTGCACCGGAGCCCACCGCTGCTTTTGAAGTGTCAGAACCACTGGGGTACGGAGGGGGCTCCCCAGCAACAGGCCCAGATGATTTCAAGGACGAAGAACCGAAGGAGAACGCGGCAGAGGCCCCCACAGCAGAGGGCAGAGAGAAGGTGGCGGTGGGAGCAGCCGGCAGGGAAGGTGGAACGGAGGCAGGAGCTGCAGCTGCTGAAGCCTCGGGTTTCTGCGGGACGGGCGAGGTTGGGGTCGTGGGAATACTTCCTGCGATGAAGAAATGGGGGAAGGAAGGGATGAGTCAACACCATACGGCAGAGGGCCACATAACAGACCAGCGGAAAGGGTTTGTGGCAGAAGGAAGCCAGAAATGAAGGTCCTGCTGCATGAAGGAGAAAGAAACACGGGAGATGGAGTTGCTGGTTCACGTTCCACAGCAAACGTTCCCTAGAAGGTGACAGAGCTTTGAAGGAAAAGGAAACGGGGAAGACGTTAGGCTGACAGCACCTCATGGATGCCCAGCTGAGTAATACAGAAAAGCACACTTCTCAACGCGAAAAGCAAGTCATCCGGCAACATTACATCCCAGTCAGGAAAGCTTGTAATTCACATCTCTACCTGTAAGTCACTGAAAGCAAGTTCGGGTGAATAAAGACACACACAAAAGCACACATACTGTATCTCAAAGGAGGCAAAAATGAGTTTAGTCTCTGAGGGGTTAACTTAATAAATCCAGAAATGACAAAAAGGGCTGGCTGGTGTTGCTCAGTGGTTGAGCGTCAACCCATGAACCAGGAGATCATGGTTTATTTCCTCTCAGGACACATGTCCAGGGTGCAGGCTCGATCCCCAGTAGAGGGTGTGCAGGAGGCAGCTAATCAAGAATTCTCTCTCATAATTGATGTTTCTATTTCTCCCTCCCTCTCCCTTCCTCTCTGAAGTCAATACAAATGTTTTTAAAAAAAGATCCACAAAGGATTAAGATTTGACTATATAAAAAGATAGTTACATAACTAAAAGGTAAATTAAAAAAATCTGCAGCAAGAATGAATACAGATTGAGATTTGAAAATTTTAAGACTCTAATAGACAAAAGCTGGGAAACTAATTCACAAAAAATAAATATACTTAGTCCCTGATGCAGTAAGAATGACTGCCCCGAGATAACTGTATTCTCACCTGCTTCCCTCCTTGGGAACAGCTCTGTACCGGCCGAAGGGGAGACATACCTGACGACTTGGGCTGGCGCTCTCCCTCCAATGGGAGCGGCTCTGGTGTCCTGATGAGGGACCTCACTCCGGGATTCTGGTTGATCATGTAAAATGGACAGAGCACACCGTCTGTCGAGAGTAACAGGAGAACCGGAGCCGGGGGAAGAGTCTTCTCATCAGCTATTCAAAAAGAAACAAAAATGAAGGAAGAGGGAAAGACTGCCTGGGCCAGGGGCTGACTGCCCGCAGCTCCAGGCGGCTCCCTCGGGCCATGTCTCAACAGCTTTCTCCCAACCACCCTTCCCAGAGTCGCTGCCCTGGCTGGATAGCCACCCTCCGCCAGGCCTGCATGGAGGCTGCTGATCGATGGCCACCTTCCGCCAGGCCTGCATGGAGGCTGCTGATCGATGGCCACCCTCCGCCAGGCCTGCATGGAGGCTGCTGATCGATGGCCACCCTCCGCCAGGCCTGCATGGAGGCTGCTGATCGATGGCCACCCTCCGCCAGGCCTGCATGGAGGCTGCTGATCGATGGCCACCCTCCGCCAGGCCTGCATGGAGGCTGCTGATCGATGGCCACCCTCCGCCAGGCCTGCATGGAGGCTGCTGATCGATGGCCACCCTCCGCCAGGCCTGCATGGAGGCTGCTGATCGATGGCCACCGCCCGCCAGGCCCGCATGGAGGCTCCTGCTCGATGGCCACCATCCGCTGGGTGCGCATTGAGGCCCAGCCATCCGGGAACAGCTCAGACTCTCCCAAAGCTCCCTGGGTTTTCCCGAGGGCCCCGGTGTTGGGAGGTAAGGTCAACGATCCCCTGACCAGAACAGGAGTCTCCAGGAAGTGGCTGGTTTGGTAGAAAAATGGGACTAGACTCTTTAGAAAACACAAAGTAGGACACAAAGGTGAGTCCAAATATACTCACTGACAGCTGAATCACAAGCATGGACTTTGTCAAGTCAGACTTCAAGAGAATTGGAGTAAAAGAGCTAATCACACCAAATAACCTGACCCGGGAAAGGATGAGGAACCACGTGGTGCACGACAGGGACCGACTCTCTAACTGAAGCACCAAAGAATCTGGCTTCGCTGCACTTGTGCGGTCCATGGGGCTGCAGCTCTGCCCAGCTCCAGCCGGGAGCAGCTGCACACAGAGCACACACACAGGCCCAGTTCAGAGGCTAATCCGTGCCTTCAAACCAAGTGCTGCTACACAGAACCGGCCTAGGGCACTGCTCCCTGGGCAGGTCACTGGGGAACTGGAATGGGCAGAGAAGCAAAACGGAAACCCCTGGATACACTGGACTTCCGCCTTGTTCTAAAGTGTAAAGATACGGACAGATTCGAGTGCGTCTGGCCTCGGTCTCTCCCATAAGTGTCCATGACAATTAGTTCAGTGCTGTCATACGTGCTTCCAGGAGCAATGTGCTACCAGTTCACAGTGCCCGGCGGAGCACATTCTGCCAGGAACATGGAGAACTGGACTTAAATGTTAACCAGTGTGCCCTGATCGGTTTGGCTCAGTGGATAGAGCATCGGCCTGCGGACTCAAGGGTCCCCGGTTCGATTCCAGTCAAGGGCATATGCCTTGGTTGCGGGCACATCCCCAGTACGGGGTGCGCAGGAGGCAGCTGATCGACGTTTCTCTCTCATTGATGTTTCTCACTCTCTATCCCTCTCCCTTCCTCTCTGTAAAAAAACAATAAAATATATTTTTAAAAAAATGTTAACCAGTGTCAGAAATGACGTGCTGAGCGACATCAGGCTACACTTACTGATGGCAATTTCCACCTGGTTAGTATAGTCTATGGCCACTCCCATGGGCAAGGAGTCATCATTCTTGTCTGTCACAGGCAGTTCAGCTCGACTAGAATCCTCTAGGAGCCACAATTCCCAATTAATCTGAAAAGGACAAGCAGAGAAAATGCACAGTGGTCAGAGCTCGGCACTGGCTCCTCCCAGTCCTGTGCAGACATGAGAGAGAGGACAACTCGCACGGGTAGACTCAGGTGTGGACCGAGACTGAACTCTGGAGAGAGTCTAAAAGTCACGACTATCCCATGAAGCAAGAGGTTAATTTTCCAAATCAACCATTCCTCTGCTTCTGGGGCACCAAGTCCCTGCCTTGTGCATAAACCAGTGATGGCGAACCTTTTGAGCTCGGCGTGTCAGCATTTTGAAAAACCCTAACTTAACTCTGTGCCGTGTCACATATAGAAATTTTTTGATATTTGCAACCCTAGTAAAACAAAGATTTATGTTTTTGATATTTATTTTATATATTTAAATGCCATTTAACAAAGAAAAATCAACCAAAAAAATGAGTTCGCGTGTCACCTCTGACACGCGTGTCATAGGTTTCGCCATCACTGGCATAAACAGTGCCTACTGCCCACCCCAGCCAGGCAGAACCCCGAGCTTGCCAGATAAACTCATCACTGCACTCAGCCAGTCACCCCTGCTCCTGGAGCCCGGGATTGCGACCAGGACCCCCGCTGACCCCCCCTGCAGCCTTGCCTAGGAAACCTACACAGCTCGGCAGAGGCTGTGCTCACTGGCACACAGACAAGGTAACCTTAGTTCTCAGTTCCCGGTGTGAGTTCCCCACAGGGGTCCATCCTCTTGCCTCTGAGAAACCGCTAAGACTTTCCCAAAACTCCCCCTTTCCTTAAGTTTGCTTGAGTGGGCTCTGTTCCTTCCAACGAATGATTTCTGACTTTTAAAAATCACTAACATTTTGTCTGACTTTCAGCATTGACCAAAACTGGCAACACGAATCAAAGGGAACAGTGTTCAATGAGTAACTGAGAAAAACAAGAAGCTGTCCAGGTAAGGGAACATACCGCGTTCTATGACTTAGCTATGGCGTAACACTCGCATTCATAACAATATAAACAAAGCTGATTTCAACTTTGAAAAACAATCTGTAGACAAAATGAAGACTTCATCACTACAGAACACAAAGCACAGTGACAGTGTGGTACTGTGACAGACAGACACACAGTAACAGCCGGAAGGTGGGGTGAAGGAGGGGAGCTAAAGGCAAGGGTGGGGCTGCTGAGGTATTCCTCTCACAAAGGGGAAGATCAAGGGGTATAGTGTGTGGTGGCAGCATCAGAAATGAGGGTAAAAATGCAAGTTACAAGGGTAATCAAAAGAAGAAACTAAAATGGTGCTGTAACCCTACTGAGAGGAAGAAAGGGGGATCTGAAAGTTGTATGTGAGCTAAATCCTCATCTGCCGTAACAGCCAGGAAGGTCTAAAACTAATCATGAAGCCGAAACCGGTTTGGCTCAGTGGATAGAGCATCGGCCTGTGGACTGAGGGGTCCCAGGTTCGATCGCGGTCAAGGGCATGTACCTGGGTTGCAGGCACATCCCCGGTGGGAGATGTGCAGGAGGCAGCTGATCGATGTTTCTCTCTCATCGATGTTTCTAACTCTCTATCTCTCTCCCTTCCTCTCTGTAAAATATCAATAAAATATAAAAAAAATAAAAAATAAAAAAAAAAATAAAACTAATCATGAATATTTCGTGAGAAAGCAAGTCATTACTTAGGAATAAGGAGGTAATCATTAGAAGGAAGAATTCACAGGTTAAAAATGGTCCCCTCTAGAGAACAAACTGGACCCAGATGGGGCGAGGCAGGGCAATTTTTTCATTTATAAGCCCTGCTCCATGTACACAAATTATTTTGATAAAAAGCAAAGATAATGGTGTATTTTTAATGTGTGAATACATAAAATATTTGTCCATCAGGAAATCATTACTGAAGTCAATCCAAGAGTAAACTGGACTGACCTCTGACCCCAAAGTGGCCCACCTTGACACTCTGACAACCATGCACTTAGAGCGAGAGCCCTGCCACCCAGTGACGGACAGATGCCGATTGGGGGAAGAGCCAGACGTATGTGCGTGTGGGGCGCACAAAACATTTTAAAGCTTAAGGCAGAATTTGAAAAGAAGTTTCCCTTCAACACGCCTCCTCTGTGGTGCCTCTTCCTAAGCTACCACCAGCCCAGCTCCTGCTGCCAGGAGGGAATGAAAAGAGGAAGGTGGGTCCTCCTGTCACAGGCAGCTCAGCTTCTGGTGAGTGACAGTGTGGTAGGACCTGCATGTTCCTCCTGCTTCATCAAGGACGGGTTACAGTTCATTGACTAGAAGGGGCAGGTTCAGGCAATAGGAAGGAAACAAAGCTGGTAAAACAGAACGAGGCAGGAGAACCCTCCCACACACCCAGGTCCACTCCTGTTGGGAGGTCGATTATATAGTGCGTTTGACCCACACACACGGATGGATCCTACGAGAACAGAGCGCTTTTATGACTCCAAAGAACTAGTTCTCACACCCGTGTTTGTCCAGTGCAGTATCCAAGGACACTTTGTCATTGAAGCTTTGCTCTCACCCGGGAACTCATTAACAGGGATGTGCCCTCATCTAATTCTGATCCGCATAATTAATTCTCTCCAACACCTTTCTCAGAAAAGTTTCCCCCAAAGTGACAAAGGAGAGGACCTTACCTGGTCGCTCTGTCGAGCAAGGATGCTCACTTCCGTGGAAGCCGCAGATGCTGCCAACACTAAATCCCTTCAGAGAAAAAACCAGAAGACCGTGACCTTAAAACACAGCAACAAGCCTAACCCAACCCGAGTCATGGAAACGTCTATGAGGATCGCCTGGAGGTGTCAAGGAGGAAAGCACGTTTTCCATGGTTGAAGAAAGGTGAGATTCTCAGATGTAAATCTTAACTCTTAGCTCACAGGACAAATCCCGGGACACTTGGTCAACTACCTACTGACCTAAGACAAGGGAGAGCCACGCAGAATCCAGTCGGAATCCCCAGGGAGCAGTCCTCCAGACGGAGCAATCCGGGGGAGGAACAGGAGCCCTGCTTCAAGCCCTCTACCCAAGGGAGCGTCTGCTCCCAAAGGGCAGCTCTTATTTATTCTTTATTTGTTAGTTCTCCCTGAGGATCTTCCTCCCCACTGATTTTTAGAGAGAGCAGGAAAGGGGGTGTGAGAGAGAAACATTGATTGGTTGCCTCCTGCATGCGCCCTGAACGGGGCAAAGATTGAACCTGCAACCCAGATACATGGCCTTTACTGGGTATTGAACCTGAGACCCTTTGGTGCGCTGGCTGACACTCTATCCACTGAGTGGCACTGGCCTGGGCTCAAGGGCAACTTCTAATATGCACCTTGAACATCAGTATTTTCATAAATTGTCACTGGGTTCTTAAGAATAGGGGATTTTTAAGATTAGCACATATCTGAGCTAAATTCAAGGCTAGGAAACTAGAGGAGCAGCTGGAAAGGCATTAACTAGCATCGGCTGCAAATATGTTCATGGCCCCTCAGCCTCTACTTTCCTCTTACAGAAACAACTGCCTCGGTGAGAACTTGGGGGGGGCGGGTCGGGGCGCGTCCTGGTTGGCGGCTCACCATTCCTCCATGTGACTGAGGTAGTAGTGGTGCTGCCTCTCCGTGCAGCAGCCGTAGCAGGGCTCCATGAAGTTAACGAACACCTCTGGGTGCTTTTCATCTTTTTTCTACAACAAACAGAATGAGAAAAATCTCAGGTGTGACTTTCCCTTAGTCCTACACAGTGAATGGCTCTCAAATGAGAAAACCATTTACGTTTTATGAGAAAATTTGCTCAAAAACCTATGTCCAAATGTACAGACACGACATAAAGGCAGCACCATGTAATAAAGGAACAGGAGTGATGGCGCCAACCAAGCCGAACTCAGACTGCCCGTCACTTTCTGGCTGGTGGGCAAGCACGGACAGATTACTCGACCTCTGCTTCTGTTTCTCACACATACAACGTATCTGCTAAGCGACATCAAAGGCTGTTGTAAATGTGAAACGAAATGATACACAGAAAGTTTAGCCCAGTACAAGGAAAGTGAGCCCTCAATAAATACATGCTAGTATTAATATTATCCCTGGAAATAAGAATCTTAATGATATCTTGAAATAAGGAATACATTGAATTCATTCATGAGTTGCATAACAACATCTCAAACAACAACAGACCACACGTCATGATGGTGGTCCAATAAGATTACACTAAAGCTGAAAAATTCCTAGTGACTAGTGACACTGTAGCCAGAACACCTTAGCCATTATGATGGTAACACAAATACTTACCACTGGGTTACGGCCGCCTACAGTGTTCAGTACAATGACATGCTAAACAGGTTTGGAACCTAGGAGCTATAGGGGAACAGAATCTGCCACCCCAAAATGTCTACTTGGCAGAAGGGTTATTTTCCCTCCCTACAGAGCAACAGGCTGCACCACACAGCCGAGGCGTGCAGTGGGTGGACCACTGGGTTTGGGAAAGTGCAGACTCTATGATGACGTCGCACGATGCAGTGCTGAGAACACAGACCTGTAAGTTAGGCGGAGTGTAATCGTAAACATATTTTAGAAATTCAACTGTATCAGGAACCCAAGTTCAACACAGAGCTACATAAATCTGTTCAAAGCCAAATCACATCTCATTTGACATAGAAATTTGCCTATAACTTACTAATAAGTTAAAGCAAGGTTGCAAGACAGAATGAAAGTGTTAGCTCTCACTTTTAATGCATTTAAACATTTATTTCTGTATTTTCAAATGTCTTTCTGGACTTTTAAAGCGAGTATGATTTGGAAATACAAGTCCAGCCTCATTAGTCTTCTTTTCAATGCTATTGCAATTTAGTGAGACTGTGTGGATACTAGCGTTCTTTTCTTTCTTCAACATGACTCCCTCCCTCATTTCACTTGGTTCTCGGCTCCAATGGCCCCTCCTCAGAGGCCCTCCTCAGCCACCCCATCTCACTGCACCAGGTCATCACTGGCCTCTTGACTCGCCTGCTTTATTTCCTCCGTCACCCTATCCTTCCCCGATGCCATGCTTATCTTTGGACTGGCACATTCACTAGAGTGTCAGCTCCACAAGAGCAAGGACGCTGGAATCTCAGCTTTAAAGCATCGCCCAGCACACTGCAGGCACAGGATACATGGCGGATGAATAAATAAGTGAAAGCATTTTAAAAGCCAGGCTATTTTCTTGCTTTTCTAAAATGTCTTATCAACTTAACATCTACTAAGACTCAGTTTACAGCTTAAACAAAAGCAAGTTTTATAGTTTTTTTTCAGTATGATCACAATAGTGTGTGCTTGAAGCAGAAACCATACAGTAGCTGTAGAACCAGCTCTACATGGTCCTGTCCTGTTTCTGACAAGATACTGAGTCGCCTATTGGAGAAGACAGACCAGACCGCAAGTCACGCAGCCAAAACAGTGCAGAGAGACCACCACCCCGGGCTGCACCTGGAACCAGTCTCTCCCTCCTCATGGAACCAAAGGACCGGAACCCAAACACCAGACCCTGGAGATCGGAACCCTTCCAGAAGTGAGGGGGCCGCTGTGCAAGAAGACCCGGTGCTGAAGCCTCTGTCGTGTCTTACCGTAAATGGCCAAGTTCCCCAGCCCTCCAGTCAGAACCCACACAGCCAGCACTTCTGCTCCCCCTAACCTCTACCCTCAACCTCTGCCTTTAAAAATCCTTCATTAAAAGCCATCAGGGAGTCCAGGTCTTAAGCGATAGCTTCCCATGCTCCTTGCAGGCAAATAAAACGGCTTTGGCTTCTCCATTGGAAACCTCATGTTCACTCAGTATGTGGCTTTGCTGCGCATCGGGTGAGCTGATCCTCATTCGGACCAGTAACATAACTTTGGTCCCCAGGCCAAAGGGGCACCTGAAGTTGCACCATCACAAGTAAGAAAAGAAAACTGAAGCCTAAGCCTCAAACTTTCTTACAGGGCTCCTCTAACTCCCAAAGGACAGACCCTGTCCCATACGCACCGGGAGCAGAGCCATCACCACATCCGGAGACGTCTCCAGCGTCCCATCGGCAGCGGCATACACTATTGTGAAGACATAGGTCCCGATCCACAGCACATCTAGAACTGAGACACACACTCCAATAAAGCTCCTTGTTTGGAAAGCTCTGCATGTTACCATGTTACATCTTACGGATAAAAAACCCAACTACTATAGCTTTAAGGTCTAGATTTCATTGATAGGAAGCCCAAATTCATCCCAAAGTGGTACTTTTTTTTCGTGGTGGATTATGTCAGGGAAAATGATGAACAAGTCTAATGTGAAAATTAGGATCCATTTAAGCCATCTACCATGAGACACAGGTGTCCACCAGGTTACTGCGACACCGACTGACAGGAGGAGAGTGTTCGGAGAGGAGGCACCAATGCTCCCCTGAGTGGGCATGTAGTACAGCACGTGATTTAAATGTCGGAGTGCAGACAGCACCTTATTGAAGGTTGGCCCCCAAAACAGCAGATGAGTTACCTCTGACAGGATGATCTGACTCATAAAACGGAGGACAAGGAATGACTTTTTTTTCCTGCAAAGTCTGAAAGAAATTTGAAAAAAGTGTCAAATGAAATAATCCCCAAACCAACAATGGTGGGCAGTATCTCAGAAAGCCCGCAGGGACAGGATGACACAGTGCACATGCGACTACACAGCATCGCCGTCTTTGTTGCCTGCAGTTAGAGAAACGGAACCTTTCAGAGGGACTCCGCTAGAAGACAAACACTGCTTTACCCCAAGTGCTCCTGCAGTACAGCTATAGCCTTTCACCAGCCCCTTTCCCCTGCAGCTCTGTTTCTGGGGAGTGAATTGGGAATAAAAAGTTGGGGAACTTTGTGTAAATATGATTACATTTTATTTAAAAAGCAGAACAAAAGTAACGCACGCACATAGACTATCTATATGAGCATCCGGAAAAGTCGGGAAGGCTATGACCGGGCAGAGAAAGGGTGCCTGGGAGATGGACCCTGGATG